ACTTATATAAATCCGCACACAGTAACCTTTGTCTAGAAGTAAGCAAGGTAGAAGTATACGCCAAATATCTATTTATTATCTTGAGCAAAAGTCTGGACAATTATGTTTCTGGACAATATACACGTTGGCGTATAATAATGATCATTATTGACCGGGTGGTCATGTACATACTATTTATTGCTGGTGCTATAGTCGCACTGGTAGATGACCCTGGTGTTCAAGAATTTGCACTAAATTTTGGTGAATATTTTGGGGACAAATTTCTCGGAGGTTCCGAATTCTGTATAATTGTATTCTCGGGTATATTCGCCGAGACCTGCCTACTATCGCATGAATTATCAGGGACATTGTACTGGTTCACGTTTTTCCACAACATCAAGTACAACCTACTGAAATATCCATTAACACGTAAAGATTCATCTATATTAAGTGTCAAGTTAAGTTTGATTAGACAGGTTTTATTAACAAAAATCTATTTATTGTTATTAGCTTGCTCGTATGTGTTATATTTGTATATAGCCATTAATGAACTAGTGATTAAATTTACAATTATCAAGCTAATTACTGCAATTGTGTTACTTATCGTGGTCATTATTTGCGCCATTGAATGCTATGGATTAGCTTACGTTGGATTTACCACGCTATATATACCCACAAATTATTTAAAACTAAAATTTTTGGAAATTAATGATAAAATCCTATTAAGTATTAAGACAAATAACACCAGGCTACTAAATCAGGCAATTATTGAGCATAACTACTGGGCTCTACAGACCCGGTACCTAAATCATACAATTAGGTACATGGTGTTTATACTATACTACATAGTGTTTGTTGGTATAGAGTTATGCGTTTATAGCACCTATAAGCCTAATGTGACTGTGCTAGGTCGTTTAGTAATTATCGTGTATTTATTGTTGCTGTCGTATTATCATTTTCAATACTGGGCACCTGGATACCAAAGGCTGCCCATAAGCCCTACCCATTGCTATTTGTGTATTTGTGTGGACGTCCGGTGCTCTCAATTAACGATAGACTCAAGATTTGTACGTTTATTAATAGGCTGTCCGGACCTCCCATTGCCTACTATTGCTATAATTTGTTTCCTATGAATAGTTACGAGTTTTACAAATATATGTACATTGCTGCTACTAATTATTTATTGCTAATTACTTTGTTTTAATTGTTTGTACTTGATAAATAAAATAAAAATAATATTTAACAAAAGTCATATTAACTTATATAGACATAAAAAGTATAATATTATATAAATATAAGTAAATATTTTTAAAATCATAATTTAATTACAGTTTAATATATAAATTATAATATAATATTGCTCTGTAATTAATTTTATTCAAGTTTTATGACATTCATATTTGTACATATTGAATTTGATTAACAGGCAATAAACATTATTGACTCTAAATAATTATACAGGAATTAAAATTAAATTCAAAGTTACCTAGTTAAATAATAATTTAATTATATATTTATTCAGTTAAGTATAAATTGACTACAATATGAACCCGGTAATGATTTTGTGTCCGATTATATTTTAAAACATTAAACAAAAGTAAATTTTACATATTGGGTACATTTAAACACATGAATTAAAAGTAATCAAATGTTATTTTTGTGTAAATTATAGATAATCTAAAATTAAGTAAATGTAATATTTAAATATAAAACATAGTTTGCAAGTTTTAATTTAATTAAATGCAACAATTAAAATATTAATTACACAATCTTTAATTTTATTCAATTAATTCATTAATATACAGATAAAAATTGTATTGTATATTTTTAACGCATTCAATTCACTATCATTCATAAGTTGTCTCATTAAATATACAAACAATTACCAATGTCAAAACAAGATTAAAATACAGTTTGGCTAAACTTAAACATATTAATTGAAAATTTATTTATTTCTATAAAATTTTTAAAAATTATAACTAGTTATATAATATTAGACAATAGTTTTGTAATCAGCTTTTGTATATTTTATTTCATATTTCAACCTGTAATAAAATTAAACTATTTTATGTTGATATGCAAATAAAACTAAATATAATTAGTATTGGGATCCTGGTCAACGTTTATTCATTTTGTTTCACTACAATATTATTATAATATCAAAATTTAATTTTTATAAAATATATTTTTTATTAACTTTAATTAAGGTTCTAACCATTCGATTATAAAATAATAAAAGTAAGTAATATCATCATGGACAGTTAGTAATCTTGATTAAGTTATAAAATGCGGCTATTTCATTTTTAAATAAAATTATATTCTCGTAAAACTGTAATCAATTATTACAATTTAGTCAAAAGCATTACAAAAATTTTAATTTGGACTTTGTATTATAAACGATATTTAAATTCATTCATTTATTAAATAATTTTTAGAAACATTCATAAGGTTTACGACACGTATAGAGATTTGTTTAAAAATTAAATTAATTCAAAATTTATTAAAATTTATATAGATATGATCTGGATAAGGTATAGATCAAGATGAATAATTATTGTATTGCCAATAATTAAAAAAGGTTATGAATTTCAAAATTATTGATGATAAATGACGCCAATTTAATAATGTAATATATTTATGTAATACTTTCGATCAAAATCTAATAATTAATTACAGTTTACAAAAGTATAATTTTATTAGAGAATAACAATAGTTTTATAAAATAGTAAAAATGTATTTATAATATAAAAGAATTTATATATAACTGGAATCAAGGTAAGAATCTAAAATAAATGTTAAAAGTTTTAAATAATTAATTTTTTACAAATTCCTATCATTATCTTAATATACTACTAATTTTAATTAAACTTATAATAATTAATTACCTTTATATTACCAGTCTACAATTTATTTCCTATTACAAAATTGTATGCAATAAAATGCTTAACAGGATTTACTTATTTATTACAAAAATAATATTAATAGTTGTATAAAATATTTTCAAAATCATAATAACTAATTTGTAAATTATTATGAATTTATTTTTGTTTTTATAATGCATTTTAAAATTAATACTGTAACTTTATTAAACAACTTTTTATTATCTAGATAATTTTAATTGTTATTTTATTGAAGGTGATTTAAATAGGAATTTTTAAACGATTTATATAAAAATATTTTAGCACAATTTTGTGTTACGGGTAATTAATTAGTTTAATTTTTAAATTAAAAAAAATTAATCCTGTCATTCTATTGAAACCATTAATATAATTTTAATTAAACTTGTTATACCTTTTTTTATTTATTTTAAATTTACAAACTAAAAAATTGCCAATAATAAATTAAATCTTATAACTTAATATTATTTATTTAGTATGTAGTATATTGTATGGCGCTACATAAAAATTATTAAATAATCAGAAATTTATTGACAAATAAAATCATTATTAATCATAAATAAAATGTGTTTAAACAACACTAATGTTAAAAAAATAAATTTATTAAATTTACAATATTAAAATATTTTTATTTGAATAAAAATAATTGATTTATTTTTAGTTGAACCACCAAGATATTGATCAGGATTTCGCAAAATAATTATTAAAAATAATTTTATTTACTCAACTGGATCATAATTATAAAACTCAATCATAAGTTACAAAACGAAAAACTAATATTTAAACCAAAACTACAAAACATTTTAATCATAACTTTATTACAGTTTAAAAAACATTTTTAAAAATAATTTTTATTACTCTCATAGAAAACAATGTATTTTCTCATCAAAATCATACCCTTAATAGCGGCCATACCCTACGCCCTGAGCACCGACTGTTTTGCCACTGGGGACGGCACGTGTCAGGACGCGGAGGGAAGGTGTCAACTATCTGGGGGCTACTGTCTAGTGAAGGGCCAGTTCGCTGATGGCCGGGCTATATGCCAGTGCCTACAACTAACTCAAGTCGGACCGCAAGGGGATGTCGTGGCCGAGAGGCTGGGCGATGATAGCTATGGCAATGATGGACAGTTAGCTGGTGGTGGTGGCTATGGTGCGGGACAGGGACGTGGACAGGGCTATAATTATGGCGGCTATAACTATGGTGTCGGTGCCATCGATAGACGGTATGGTGTGAGGGGTTTGAGGCGTCGACTCTATTATGGCTAATATTTTTGTGTATTTTTTCTCTGTTTAGCTATTAATGGAAATGTATTTTTTATTTGACATTCAATGTGTTGTTATAATAAATAAATGTTTGCATTGAATACCTGTTGTGTCTACTATTGTGCTTGGTTATGGGATTACAAAATGATGAACAGGGTACCACAAACTATGCAAATCGGTTATATTTTAAATTTTTAAATTTGTACTAACTTATTTACTTATCGTAGTGATTTATTTATGCAATATTTTTTAACGTACATTAAATTATGTAAAATAGACTAAACCAGATAATTAATTAAATATCATTTAATTAAACATGTAAACATTAAATTTTGTTATAATATGACTAGTCCAACTTGCTAATGCAAAACAAAATTTATTAAATAAAATCCAGATAAGTTTGGCAACTGTAAAATGTTTTGTTAATTTTTATACATTTTAAATAAATAATATTCTTATAAACTTTGAATTAATAATTAGTATTATGGATCACTTAAAAAGTTCACCAAGTTGCTATTATATAACTGACACAATTAATAAATGTGTCGGCTAACATTATAACGACAATTAATTATCTGTGTTCTGGTTAACACTCATATAATCAGGCACATATTTATATTATAAACCTATGCCGAGACCACAAAAAGAGACCAGACACCTTTTTATTTAGAGATAAGGCGGTCATGTAGCCAGGCCTGTTAACTGTAATAGATACAATCATTTGTTTATGATTTGATTGGCTGTATTTTTTAAATGAATTATCTATATAAATAACTCAACAAGTACATTACTAGTTATGAACAATACTTTATTTAATTTTATAATAGTGTTACAAATAATAATAACAAAGTTGTCCTGGCTAGTTTATTTGCCGTTATTAGCGGGTGGTACAATGGTGTACCCTGCTGGCAACTGGGCTACCGGTGTCTGTCCGGAATACAAAATGGTGGGTCCATTGGGGCCGTTAGGTTGGGACTGACCGGTGATTTGCGGCACATTATTAGCAGCGGCGGGAACTGGTTGAGCGGTACCGGTATTCAGGGGGCCGTTAGGTGTGTTAATCGTACGGCCAGGTAGGGTGCGACCAATAATGGTGTTGCCGTTGTAAAGTAGCAAGGTACCATCGGACAGTTGCTGGACTCCAGTTACTTGCGGTACGTTAGGGTTAGCAGCCGTTCCCGTTCCGGGAGCACCATTAGTAGCCACGGGCACCGGGATGTACACCGGGTAACCTCCATAGCCATAACCCCCGCCATAACATCGGGCCTCGGGGTCGGTATCGTTGACAGGCTTTCCATAGGAAAGGGCTATAAAATAAAATGAAATTTAGCAATTTATTTGAACAAGGTGGTTAAAGTATTATAATTATATACCCAGAGTTGAGATAAGAACAGTTAAAGCAAAAAATCTATTCATTGTGAATTAATGTTTAGTACTTTATAAGCTAGTTCAATTACCGTGTTACTATAGGTTATATACTGATTGTGGATAAAATATTTATCCGGGTTACTATAAAGCACATGTTTTAATATTTTTGTAACCAAGGTATATTGGTTATTATGTTTATATACATGCTCTTACGCTTTTATAAGCTATATTATTAAATAAGCTACCCTGGTATCCTGGTTTATAATTCAATATATAATATCCTGTACACTATGCACCACAAAGTCATAACTTCAAATATTACTTATGAAATAACAAGGCCTTGGTGACGTCAATGTAAAACAATTAATTATTAATTTTGAGAAAGGTTAAAATAATTAATTATAAGTTGAAATTATTCTGTGCTATGTTTAAGCTATAATACATACGTATTCTATTGAATAGAGTTTATTGATTATTATTAGTTTATTAAAACCTTTATTATGAATGTATATTTGATAAAAGCTACAAATGATTGTTAAATATAAAATGAATTTAATATAAAAATTGTAATTTAAAATACAAATTATGTTACAATGTTTATTTTGCATATTATTAATAGATATAAAAATATAATATTATGAGAGAGAGAGAGAGAGAGAGAGAGAGAACTACAATATTAAATACACTGTGATTATTATGAAATAAATGTATATAGTTAAATAATTATGTCACAAATAGCTAAATAGTTGATTGTATAAAAATTTTTACAATAATAAAAAATTAATTTCAAGTACATACTGTGGTTACAATGTGTTTTTTCTAGGTTAGCTAAAATAATTAATTAATCAACTTATACATGGTACAGAACATATTTTTTATATTAAATAACTTTTAAAGTATTGCAAAATTGATTTAATAATAATATACAAAGTAAACAACTAATCTATACCATTATTAACAATTAATAGCATTTCTTAAAATATATATATTATTTAATTAAGTAAATATTTATGCATTTACATAATATCAAAATTATTAATAATTATTAGTACCCGGTACTAAACAGACAATGAAAATTAATTACTTACAGTATTTGAAAACGTTTTTCATATCCTTTAACATTAATATCAAATGAAAGGTCCGTTTTATACAATAAACCGGACATTGAGACTATGCAACTATATAATTGATCCAGGTATATAAAAGCATGTTTGACAAAATATAATATCATTGAAATAATTTGTTGAATTAATTTTGGGAGTAAAAAATCATAAAAGTATTTACTATTTAGTAAAACATGAATAAATTTATTTTTGTTACCGTATTATCTATGGCTATCGGTAAGCAATAATATATTGATATTTTAATAGTACAGTATTAACAAACTGTAATTACATGCCTTAATTAACTATAAATACTAATTATATTTGATTTGATAATAAAGTATTTGATTATATTAACTTAACTAAATTTAACCCTGTTAATAACTAGATAATAAAAATATTTTTATAGGCCTGTCCACTGCAGCTCCCGCCGATAAACCTGAGGAAAAATGTGGTGGAGGTTTTGGATATGGAGGTTTCCCTGGTGGTTTTGGTGGGTTCCCTGGTGCTTTTCCAGGTGCCTTTCCCGGTGCATTCCCTGGTGCTGTAGGTGCTTTCCCAGGACAAGTATTCCCTGGTCAGCTTCTCCCTGGACAGGTATTTCCTGGACAAGTACTGCCTGGACAGGTTTTCCCTGGTCAAGTTATTGGCTAAACAAATAAACATCATTATATAACATGATCAAATTAAATTGTATAACTAATGTGAATACCGTTAGTAGCATACAGTATATTAATAATAATCAATTTGATTAAATTATGCTTAAAAAATAAAATTTTATTTAAAAAAGTGTGATTTGTGTACATAATTTGTGAGCATGGTAAAATTAACAAATTGAGTATGATATCATAATATTATTATTGAGCGTATGTTTAGCCAACGTTAGCTCCCGATGCCGTACGACCGCACACGACATTACCGCAGTATAACAGGTAACTGCCGTCGGATAGAGGTTGTACCCCGGTTACTGTGCCAGCCCCCCCATTTCCAGCGCCACCATTATTTCTGCCACCATTTCTATAGCCCCCGCCGCCATAACCTCCGCCACCATAACCTCCGCCACCATAACCTCCGCCACACTTTTCCTCCGGTATTATGTCTGACGTCTTGTTGTGGTGTTTGGCATAACTTTGCACTAGAAATGGGTTTTGAAATAAATTTTAATTCAATGTGTGAGAGGGTGGAGAGAGAGAGAGGGAGAGAGAGGGAGAGAGAGAGAGAGAGAGAGAGCTTTAAAAATTTAAAAAGTTTAAAAATGTTTGTATTTTTCATAGTAATAATAATTATATTATTTATATTGTACGCTATTATTTATTAAATGTACAGTTTTTAAATTAAATAACTGATATATACGATACAAATTAATTTATTAGTAAACTATAAGTTAGTTAATACATACCAAGTACGCCGAGCAAAATAGTTAATAATACTAGTTTAAACATTATTAATGTTTTAAAATTATGCAAGACACAATTTTAAAACAATACACAAATACACTGAATTAAACTAGTAGAACTTTTAAATTTATATAAAAATTTATACTGCCATGCAAGATTTTATAATTAATGTGAATTAACATGTTCTAGTAACAATATTTTTAAATCTATTGTCATTAATAATAAAGTTTAAGATTTACGTTAATGTATAAAAGTTTGTATTTTGACATCATAATTAATCTTGTTAATGTAATGGTACATGCACTGTGTTGCGTAGATTTATATGATTTATAAAGGTTACAATTATTGAAGATTTAATAAATAAACATTTTATTATTAAGTCAAATAATTTTAATTACAATGCACACATATATTTGTAAAATATGAGTATCAAAATTAATTAATACAAACATGCATGCACCTATATGCATGCAATGCCAAAATTTGATTATTATAATATAAATTTATTTTCATTTTTAATAATTCAATATTTTATCTAGTATAATACATTATATTTATTAATTCATTTGCGCAGTGTTTAAAATATTTAAAATTTTTAAAAATTATTGTCTTGCTTATTAGTAAAGATTAATTGAAATTATTTTAAATCTAGGTCATTATTGTATCAATTAAATACATTGTATTAAAAATCAGTTATTTTACAATCACTATATTAAACTCTATTGGCAAAATTATTTTCAATTTAAAGTATTTTATAAATTCTACTAATATTCAGATAAAAATAAAAGCCATAAAACAATCAAAAAAAAATTAATAAAAATTTTAATTATATCATTATTTATATTTTTAAACTCTCAATATTAAAAAAAATTATAAATTAAATTTGGCGCACAGCATATAAATTTTAAAATTAGTTTTATAAGCACACTTTTTCCTTGTTTAATTTATTTATTATGCATACAATATGTATACTTAAAAATAGATTTTATGTAATATAAAAGAAAACTCTAAAAATAACTCATTTTCACACGTAAACTGTTACTTTTTGCAAGATTAAATTTATTTGTTAAATATGTCCGTATTCAACGTAATTACAGACCCCTACCTGAAACCCCCTGAAACCCCCTCTACCGCCGCCGCCACCACCGAAACCACCCCCACATCGGGCCTCCGGGTCCTCATCGGCAGGTCTCGCATAGCATACGGCTATTGAATGGGAAATAAAATATTTTTTTTATAAATTATTTACAATTTATAAAATAATAGAGATTTTTTGTATTACCAATAATGCACACTGCTAATTATATGAACTAGAAACTTTATGTGTTTTTTTAAACAAGTTTACAGTTTGTTTAGTAAAATTGTTTTTGAAGTTTTATTTATTTTTTGTCAGGTTGTTGTTTGTTCAAGCTATATTTATTGGTAGAAAATTATAGCGTGTTTATCACATACAAATGATCCTTATATGTGCGTATGAGTTATTAGTGACCTGGGATAATTAATTATTTTAAGCGGATTTATTTCTGAAAACATGTAAACCGAAGCACTGATATAAACATTATCACGAGTTTACAAGTAACAAGGTGAATAATTGACAAATTAATGTTACCCTGTACATTGAGTATAGTATGCGATTACAAGTGATATAATTTACTATTTGGAAATATTTGACATTTATTAATGTTAAAAACATATTTAAAATTATGATTTATTAATGTATGTCCTAGGACAAATTCTAAACAATTCCTATGAATACAAGCTTTTATTTGATTGTTGCGGACATTGTCTATTACATGTGTGACCAGTGTCAAATATTTGCAAAAATTAATATAATAAGCCAAAACTGTATAAAATGTTTGTTAAAAATTTTAAAAAGTATAAAATCAATGCATATAATAGAGAAAAGTGTTAAATACTTGAATGTTATAACAAAACTGCAAATTATGTATAAATTTGATACAATGTATACAATGATAAATGTCATTTCAAAATAATTTTTTTTGCGATAAATGTAAAACTATATTACATGTACTGGACTTTAATAGAGAAATGCATATAAAATACCTTTACATCAAAACCTTTATAATTCATTATATTAATACTATTTAAGTCTTAATAATATGTGCTTTCCAAACGGTATTAGTATAGTATTAAATTTATTTATTTAATTCAATTACCATGGTTTTTATATTTAATATTGAATGAATGTTTAAAACTGTGCTTATTATGCATTATCATAAGTAGAAATATTTTTAATGTATTGTATGTATATTTTTAATGTATAATAATAATATAAAAAACATTTAAAACCCAAAAATTAAATTTTGCAAAAATTAAGCATTTACGTTTGAAATATTGAATTTATTTGTAAAATATTAGCTTGATTACAGTTTGTCAAGAATTAAACTCATCATTGATCCAGATCATTTCCCAGTAGTCAACGTACCGTTAGGGTACTCATATATGATAACGGTATTACCACCGCCACCGCCACCGC